TGGTTGGTGTGGTGTGTATCATTCACATGATGCGTCATAGAGTGCCTATTGCGTGCATTGTGGTTGGTGTGGTGTGAATCATTCACATGATGCGTCATAGAGTGCCTATTGCGTGTACTGTGGTTGGTGTGGTGTGTATCATTCACATGATGCGTCATAGAGTGCCTATTGCGTGCACTGTGGTTGGTGTGGTGCATCATTCACATGATGCGTCATAGTGTCCACACTGCATTCGCACAGCGTATGGTGTGGCGTGGCAGTGGCACACGTGTGTGGATGCCATACCAACTGTCTCACGCCTTGCCCCATGATCGTACAGTGTGTAGTGTGTGTGTGTGTGTGTGTGTGTGTGTTTGTGCGTGTTCATGTGTGCGTTAACGCTTACCTGCAGTGTAGCGAGTGTCCTGAGTGCACTCATGGTGCGTGTGTTGGCTGGTCGTTCTGCGCTGACAGTTGTTGCGATGGCTTTGCGCACCTGTGCATCGGCGTATGCTTCAATCTGTCCCTTTGCTTTGTCTGACAGGTACCGAACTCTCACAGACACACCGCTCTGTGACTGGCTGTTATTAGGAGAACACAGTGGGACGACGTTTGAGAATGCAGGCAATGCGAATAGTAGGGATTTTTGATTGGCTGATATTTAAAAAACACAGTCATCAGTTTTCCTCTCTCATGATCGCATATATATACATACACCGCGACATATCCTACTACCTCCCTGAAAAAAACCCACTATCTCCCTCAGCAATCCCCATATACCTGGAAGTGAGCGTCTGCATGCCATCTACGTCGTCAATAGCGTGCACTGCTGCTGTTGGGTCAGCTGCCATAACTGTGCCTATGGACAATGGCGGTTTAGCTTCCGTTTTGATTTTTCTCGATTGCGTTTCAGTACTTTCGTTGTCCGCGTTTGAAGTCTGTGCGGCAGCTGCTTGCAGCACATGATGTGGTGAATGAGACAGATGATCAGATGATTGGCATTGTGAACACCTATAACAATGCTGCAAATGCATGGTCACTTGCAGTATATATATATATATATATATATATATTCTAGCGCATACATACATGTGCGAACTTAATAGGTTGATCAGACATATTTTTTACTGATAAAACAAGAACATAAACATGTAAATATATACATATCTCCACTTCTCTATGCACATACATGAACAATCGAATATATCCATAGAAAAATTGCCCATCAATGATGTGAGTAGCTACCTACCTTGTACCGTGGGCGAGAACTGAGCCAGCAAGTTTTCCACAAACCGTCTGCGGAGGAGCAAATGTAAACGTTTTAGGTTTTAAAAACTCTAAAAACGAGCGCAAATGAGTCATAAAACAATACAACAGTCCCAATATGCTGGGTTATGCCTTTACCGAGCATGCAGCAGTTGGGGTGTGTCTACTTAAAGGTCTGTCGCGACTTAAAGCTGTGCCGTTGCCACAACACTGATAGCGATCGCCAACGCACATCGCAAATAGGTCCAAGGCGTCTTCGAAATACTGCACAACAATCTGTGGTCAGAAGCCACACCCTTTAAACCTTAAAAACCCAACAATGAACGAAACACTCGCACGTCTTCACAGATAAATTGGCTGCAGTTGCTTACTTGTTCATGTCGTGGTCCACCCATACGCGATCGCCAATAGAGTCGTCGATATAGACTTTCATGAAGGCCACGGGCCAATCGCCAGCCACAGAATCGTGTGCGTACATCAGCAGATTGCACGCCAACGCACGCACGGTCACATCGGTCTTACTGATAGCACCCCTCTGCATAGACTGGGCAGACGGCTGTGACTGAGAGAACACGGACAGGCAATATACACAATGTCAAGACCAACAGTATATAAACACAGAGATCAATGTTAGTATAAAACGATACGTACAGGCAATATACACAATGTTAATACCAACAGTATAAAAACACAGCGATCAATGTTAGTATAAAAAGACACGTACAGGCAATATACACAATGTTAATACCAACAGTAAATAAACACAGAGATCAATGTTAGTATAAAAAGACACGTACAGGCAATATACACAATGTCAATACCAACAGTATATAAACACAGAGGTCAATGTTAGTATAAAGGGTGGATGCGAAGACACGCACAGGCAATATACACAATGTCAATACCAACAGTATATGAGCACAGAGGTCAAGGATAGTATAAAAGGTGGATGCGAAGGCGTGTGAGTCACACAGTGGCCAATGTAATCGCTGCAGCTCAAAGATATGAGAACCAAAACCTAAAACCCTACAGGTATAAGACACTCTGCTCAACACAGCAGCCTTCATGCCAAGCCAAGCCATGACAGGCCCTCACCTGTCATGTCTCCCACGCACATGCACAGGGACACTCTCACCTGCACAGGGCCGTTGACGGAGAGTGCACTGACCAGCTCCTCCACAATGGCCGCGTGTGTGAAGTACTGAGGGTGCAGCTTACACACGTACATGAGTGTCAGCAGAGTGGGGTGTGTCTTCTTAGAGGTCACGGTACGCACTACCTGCAGTACTACATCGTACAACAGGCGCAGCACCTGCACGTGGTGTTCTGCCTCGATGGCGTCCAGAAGGGTGTTGAGGAGGGCTGGGTTGTCCTCGAATGGGGGCACGTGGTCCGTTTGTGGAGGTGCAGGTGCAGTGGCGGCGGTGAATGTGGGCATTGGCCCACTGCCGCCCCTGGCAGCAGACGGATGGCCTCCGCTGTACATATGCGCAAATGTGGACATGGATATGTGTACTGGCTCTATAATAACACGATTTTCTGTGCAGCAGTGTACCGTTGTGTGTTCAGGTATGTACATATATATATTCGCACATCTAGATGTGTATATTCACATATCTACGTATATATTTACGTATCTACATATTTATATTCGCGTATGTCCGTATGTATTCGCGTATCTACATATAATATTCACGCATCCACATATATTTATTCAGGTATCTACGTCTATATATTTACATATCGACATACATATATTCACGTATTTACGTATATATTCATCAATTTACATACATATATTCATGTATCTATTATATATTCACGTATCCAAATATATGTATTCACGTATCAACGTATCTATTCATGCCTCTCCATATATATATATATAACGCCAGAGATAGAGTGCGCAATTAGAGTGCGAAGGAAGTGTAAAACAATACGAGGCAGGTCTAATCTGACATGTATGATGACAACATGTGTGAATCGTAAACGTCACGGCATCTTGGGCTGCATGTCTTACGCGAGCGAATAGGGATAACAAAAGAAGCTGCGAATACGAAAAAATATACATACTTACGAGTAAAATATACGTGTTTTTGAGAAAATTATACTTATATATATATATATACATATATATATACATATATATATATATATA